CTGAAGGATCGAAAGACTCGCTACGTGTGGGTGAGGCCGGTCGCCAAGAAAAGCGACGTCCTGGAAGGGTTTAAGCAGTGGCTGGTGGTCGTGGAGAGGCAAACCAAGAAGTCGGTGATGATGCTCCGCTTTGACCGCGGAGGCGAGTTCCTGGGGAAGGACTTCACCAACTTCGTCAACGGCAAAGGCATCGTCCACGACCTGACCTGTTCGTACACTCCGCAGCAGAACGACATGGCGGAGAGGGAGATGCGTACGGTCGTCGAGGCTGTGCGAACGATGCTGCTGCACATGGGCGTGCAGCACCACTGGTGGCATCTCGCTCTGCGGCAGGCCGTCTGGGTGCGCAACTGCTTGGAACGGTCGACGCTGCCTCCGGGGACGACATCGCACCAGCTGCTGACAGGCAAGAAGCCTGATCTCACTCTGGCAAGGGTGTGGGGCTGCATGGTGCAGTTCATGGTCCCTGAGCAGCAGCGTGGTGGGAAGCTGGCGTCGAAGGCTCGTTGGGGGCTACACCTGGGTGTATCACCGGAGAGCAAGGGATAGGAAGTGCTCGACCTGACTGACAACAAGCTTGTCACAACGGTCGAGGCTATCTTCTACGAGACGATGTCTCTGGAGGTGTGGAAGGTGACGCATGGGCCAGCCTCGGCACGGGCGCAGACCCACTCTCCGACTGACTCCTCAACGGCGACGTTCCCACTGCTCGCCGAGATCGACGAGGCTGTTGACGAGGATGTCGAGGAGGTCCATCCTACTCCTCCTCCTCCTCCTGTTCCTACTGCACCACCTATTGTCGCCGACTTGCCTGAGCAGACACCTTCGTCAGCCACTGGCGACGAGGGGAGCCTGCGGACGTTGCCTGTGGCGCCGTCCAGGGGCATCGCCAGCGGCCGACGTGATGTCAAGCTCGTCGACGAGGGTGCAAAGCCTTCGACGGCAGGGGAGCTGCGAGTGGAAAAGATGCAGCTGACAGGGGAGCCATTGACAAAGGAAGCGTCTGCAGAGGAACCGCCGACAGGGGAGCAGTTCGACGATGGTTCGTCGAGTGACGTTGTAGAGGTCCTTGGTGAACCTGATGACGATGAAGGGGAGCTATCTGCAGGGGAGCAGTCCACTGACAGCGATGTGGTGGAAGTCGAAGCTGACGAGCCTCCGCTGCGACGTTCCACTCGTGTCAACTTTGGCAAGCCTCGCGAGAAGCTGAGCTACCATGCTTGCTTGCCCCCCACCTCCTACAGCACGTTGCTCGACGATGCGCAAGACGACGTCGACCTGCCCGAGCTCGACCCTGACGTGCATGCTGACCCAGAGCATCGCTGGGACATCGCGACGATGACAGTGAAGGAGGCCCTGGCGAGCTGGAAAGGCAAGGCGGTGAAGGCGGCGATGGACGAGGAGATTCGGAGCCTCATCGCCAACGGCACATGGGAGCTGGTCGAACGTCCGCGCAGGGTGAACATCATGAAGAACCGGTGGGTGATAATGACGAAGTATCACATTGATGATACGGTCGCTCGTGAGAAGGCAGTTTAGTCGTGAAGGGCTTCACGCAGGTGTATGGCGCCGACTACGAAGAGACGTACGCACCGGTCAGCAGCTACGTCACGCTGAGGATTTTCCTCAGAATCGTCGCTGTCCGCGACTTGCACCTGATGCAGCTTGACATGAAGAATGCATTCCTGCAGAGTAAGCTGGACAGGGTGCTTTACATGTACCAGCCAGACTACTATGACGATGGAACTGGCCATGTGTGCAAGCTGTTGAAAAGCCTCTACGGACTGAAACAGTCACCACTGCTGTGGTACAGGGCCCTCGACAGAGTGCTGCTGGGCGCTGGCTGGAAGAAGAGCCAGGTCGACGAGGCTCTCTACTGCAAGGCCGGTGACGGAGGAGTGATGTGCTGGGTACTTGTCTACGTCGACGACCTACTCGCCGCCAACAGCAGCCTTGCGATGCTGAAGGAGCTGCTGGAGGCTGCCTTTGAGCTGCGCGAGATCAGCCCGGTCGAGAGGTACCTTGGGCTGGAAATCGTTCGCGACAGGTCGGCAAGGAAGCTATGGCTGCACCAGCAGTCGTACGTCGACAAGCTCCGCAGGCGTTTCATCGACGAAGAGCAGACCGGGCGCATCCCGAAGACGCCGGTCTCCGTCGACGCCTATGCGGAGCTGACATTCGATGACGAGGATGCTCAAGCGCGCGAGGAGGAAGAGTACAGGCAGAAGGTTGGCTCGCTTTAGTTCGCGGCGACGACGACGAGGCCAGACATCGCGTTCGCGACTTCGTCTGGTTGACCAAGTTACCTGCTCGACGAGTGCGCGAAGGTGTGCGAACGTCGTCGAGGTGCCTGTGGCGAAGTCGACCGACGTGGCAGCACGTGGTCGACGTGGCTCATCATGTGCAACCGTCAGCATGTGGCTGACAACCTGCGCAATGTGTGTGACAGTGCACGTCGTGCATAACTGTCTACAAGCACCTGCGAAGTAGGTGCTTGCACATGCGCTTACAATCACCTGCGGATGCAATGTTGGCAAGCCGCGCGGATGCTGCGTTGGCAGGCCGCCATCTGCAGCGTTGGCAAGTCGCACATAAGCTGCGTTGGCGGGCCGCAGACTTGCTACGTTGGCAGGTGGACAACTCTGTCACGCTGGCAGTCGACCTTCCTGGGCACTAGCAAACCTTGCATGTGATGTAGTCAAACCTTTGCCATTGCTTGTTATCGTTCTGAACTCTGTTATTCTCAACTTTCCTTAGTGAAACTCTTGCTGTTTTGCCCTGTGAAAACACAAGTCCTAGAGAACACTGACAGAGCTACGATCACTCTACCAACTCGTGCCTACCCTGCAGTCTAGCTCCCACCGTTGTAGAGTTAATCTCCTCACAGCAGTAGCGGTGAAGGTGTGACCCTGTGGGGAGGAGTGGTTGGAGTGTGAAGATTGAGAGTGAGGGATATGGGCGTGAGGGATATGGGGGCTACTTAGAGTGAGTTATTGAGAGTGAGGGATTGAGAGGGAGGGATGTGGGAGTGAGGCATATGGGAGTGAGGGATTGAGAGTTAGGGACTGAGATTGAAAGATTGAGAGTGAGGGACTGAAAGTGAGGGATATGAGAGTGAGGGATATGGGAGTGAGGGGTATGGGAGTGAGGGGTATGGGAGTGCGGGATATGGGAGTGAGGGATAAGGAAGTGAGGGATTTGGGAATGAGTGAGATAGGAGTGAGTGATTCAGGAGTGAAGGAATCGCAGGTGTGGAATATGGGAGCGAGTGTGTGGTTTGGGAGTGAGAGATATGGGAGGGCGATTCGGGAGTGAGGGATTTGGTAGTGAGGGATTGGGAGTAAGGGATTTGGGAGTGAGGGATATGGGAGTGAGTGATATGGGAGAATGATTCGGGAGTGAGGGATTTGGGATTGAGTGGTTTGTGAGTGAGGGATTCTGGAGTGAGGGACTTAGGAGTAAGGGCTTTGAAAGAGAGATTCGGGAGTGAGTGCTTTGGGAGTGAGGGATTTGGGAATGAGAGATTTGGGAGTAAGGGATTTGGAAATGAGGGTTTTGCGAGTAAGAGATAGGGGAGTAAGGGATTTGGGAATGTGGGGAGTAAGTGATATAGGAGTGAGGGAAATGGGAGTGAGGGATATTGGAGGAAGGGATATAGGTGTGAGCGATTTGGGAATGAGAGATTTCGGAGTGAGGGATTTGGAAATGAGGGTTTTGCGAGTAAGAGATAGGGGAGTAAGGGATTTGGGAATGTGGGGAGTAAGTGATATGGGAGTGAGGGAAATGGGAGTGAGGGATATTGGAGGAAGGGATATAGGTGTGAGTGATTTGGGAATGAGAGATTTGGGAGTGAGGGATTTGGAAATGAGGGTTTTGCGAGTAAGAGATAGGGGAGTAAGGGATTTGGGAATGTGGGGAGTAAGTGATATGGGAGTGAGGGAAATGGGAGTGAGGGATATTGGAGGAAGGAAATTGAAGACATGGGAGTGTGGATTTTGGGGTTTAGGGTGAGAGACATGGGAGAGTGGTTTGGGAGTGAGTGATTTGGGTTGGGAGTGAGTGATTTGGGTGAGAAATATGGGATACTGATCTGGGAGTAAAGGATTTGGTAGTGAGGGGTTTGGGAGTGAGGGATTTGGGTGTGAGGGATGTGGGAGAGAGGGATTTGAGAATGAGGTATTTGGTAGTGAGGGGTTTGACAATGAGGTATTCAGCAGTCAGTGTTATGGGAGTGAGTGATACGGGAGTGAGTGATACGGGATTGAGGGATGTGGGAGTGGGTGATACGGGAGTGAGGGATTTGGGGGTGAGGGATACGGGAGTGAGGGATTTGGGAGTGATGGGTATGGGAGTGATATCAATATGCTGCAGAAACGTCTTGAGCCCAATGCCCGATTGTGAAGTGCTGCAATGTAAGGTAGAACACGTGCACAGCACATATACGTTGCATGATACAAAGTGAAGGAGCCGGTGAATGCCCATGAGAGGTGTGGGATATTAAATACGTCGCACCTTTTTAATCACCCAGAAACATAGACGTACCTTTTTAGTCACCCAGAAACATATATGCCTGAAGTACATACTACTCACAAAATGGTGCTCGGAAATGAAGGAACCGGTGAGTGAACAACAAGGTGGCTGATATTTACGTTGATGGCTTATTGTGTGCCATTAAGGTTCCTACTGGTTGCTTCTTTGCAAAACCAATTGTTTACGCAATAACCACAACTGGAATGTTTGTGAAGGACAGTGTTGTTTGAAAAAAAGGAGAGAAATCCGAGACTGTGAGGTGAAATACATTTGCATCCTTTCTCAACATGCAGATTACAAAACATTTTTACAAACACCTACACTGATTAGGCTTTGATGTACCTCAGAATCACGAGCCACTTTGAGGTAAATCAAAGCTAAACCAACTTGCACCCTAGAGCCACCTTCCTTTGCACCTCTGATTGGAGTTGCTGTGCCTGCCTCAGCCACACCTCCCCAGCCAGCAAGCCTCAATGCCTTCCACGACCGCCAGGCCCTCCCCCCATGCCTCCTCCCCCGATGCCTCCTCCCCCCATGCCTCCTCCCCCCATGCCTCCTCCCCCCATGCCTCCTCCCCCCATGCCTCCTCCTCCCATACCTGCACCTCCGCCCGTCCCTCCCCCTCCCCTCATCCCTCCTCCTCCGCCCATACCACTCCCAGGTCCTCCCATTCCCCCGCCCCCTCCCATTCCCCCGCTCCCTCCCATTCCTCCGCCCCCTCCCATACCCCCACCTCCGCCCATTCCCCCAGGCCCTCCCATGCCACCGCCAGCAGCACCACCGCCCATGCCTCCCCCGCCATTTAAACCCCCAGATGGGCCGCCCTGGCTGCCGCCCTGACTGCCGCCCTGACTGCCGCCCATCCCCCCGCTGTAATCCCCACTGTAGTCCCCAGTGTAGCTCCCTCCATTATAGTCACCACCATTGCCGCCACCATAGCCCCCTCCAGTGTTCCCCCCGCTGTAGTCACCACCAGTGTTGTAGTCCCCTCCATTCCCCCCACTATAGTCACCACCGCCATTACCAGCCCCGTAGTCACCACCATTGCTCCCCTCACCATAATCCCCCCCAGGTCCCCCCTGCCCGCCTCCAGCTCCCCCTTGCCCGCTTCCGGGGCCCCCCTGTCCCTCACCAGGTCCGCCCTGCCCTCCCCCACCTTCCCCCTGTCCCCCAGGTCCCCCGCCTTGCCCTTGTCCTCCCCCACAGCCCCCACCAGCACCCCCACCAGCCCCTCCTCCTCCACCTCCTGCGCTGTAGTAACCACCTTGTCCGCCTGTGTTGCCTCCGCTGTAGTCACTTCCGCCATTACCGCCGCTGTAGCTCCCCCCATTGCTGTAGTCACCACCATTGCCGCCCCCAGCTCCCCCCTGCCCGGCCCCAGGTCCGCCCTGTTCCCCAACAGAACCGCCCTGTCCGCCCCCAAATCCCCCCTGTCCCCCACCACGCCCCCCTTGCCCGCCCCCAGGTCCGCCCTGCCCTCCCCCAGGCCCCCCCTGTCCCCCACCAGGCCCCCCACGTCCGCCCCCAGGCCCTCTCCTGCAGTCCCCCCCACCGCCTCCCCTTCCTCCACCTCCTCCGCCACCACCACTGCTACCTCCGCCACCACCACTCCCCCCACCGCCGCTGCCACCCCCATAGTCCCCACCACTCCCCCCGTTATTGTCACTTCCACCATTGTAGTCCCCTCCATTCCCTTCGTTATAATCACCGCCGCCATTACCATCGCTGTAATCACCACCCCCATTGTTCCCCCCGCTGTAGTCACCCCCAGAGTCGCCCCCACCTCCGCCAGTGCCTCCCCCCGTGCCCCCGCCAGTGCCGCCGCCCCCTCCCCCTCCGGACGAGGCAGAGGAGCACGCAAAGTCCACTTGCAGCGCGCCACTGGGGGGAGGGGCGAGGGGGAGAAGGGAAGGGGGAGAGGGGAGAGTGAGCATGAGAAGAGGGAATCAAGAGAAGGAAAACGGAAGCTGCGAGATGGGTTGGAATGAAATGAAACGATGAGATGAGTTGGCTCGGGACTGTACCACTCGCTTATTGCGATCGTGGAAGCCGAAGGTCCGAACTTACTTTCTCACACTTTACTCTCTCACACTTTGTCTGAGCTGGATGAGATGAAGTCTTAGGAAATAAAGGATGGGATGAGGGGCAGTACTTATACTATCACCCATGCCTGTGCTGGGCTGGAATACCCTGCCTTAAAGAACTAAACGATGAGATGAGGGGCGGCACTCACTCATAGTCGGCGTGGAAGCCGAGGGACTGCGAGCCGTCGCTAGAGTGCGCCCACACGAGTGTTTTGCTGCCCTGCATGCTCACCGCCACCGAGCCATCTCCCGCCGACCGGTTGAACCTGATTGAGGGAATGTGGGGTGAGAGGGGAGGGAATAATGAGTGTGTGGGTCCGAGAGGAAAAGTAGTAAAAAATAAAAACCTGAACTTACACCCTGCATCCGAAACCCTAAGTCTCAAAGATATTTTTCCTGAAACAACCGACAACAACAAACCGCAACATCACAAACCAGCGCCCGACGTACTTGAGAACGGTGGATCCCGAGGGTGACGTGGCGAGCTGCGCGTTGCCAATATCGAAGCTGCTTGTGGGCTGAACGTCGCTCTGCGTCGTGCCGCTCATGTACACCGCCTGGACGGCGCCGCCCGCCAGATTGCCCACCACGGCGTCGGACGCCGCCATGCGGCCCGTCGTCGACCACCCCACGGCGAACCACCCCGCCGCCGCCGCGCTGCCGCCCGCCGCTTCTAGCGCCAAGGCGAGGCGCGACGAGTCCACTGCGCGCCAATGCAGCGTCAGTCCAGTGGACCCCAGCGCCGCCGACCACGCGAACCCCTCCAGCGCCGACGCTGCGCACCCCGATCCCGTAGCTGCGGTGTTAGCAGCGACGGACCCAGCATCAGAGGTTGTAGCCGCGGCGCCAGCAGTGGCGGCTGTAGCGCCAAGTGCAGTGCTGCCAGTGTTGGTCCCTTTACCGCGGTTGACATTGCCGCGAAGGATCGTGCTTCCTGACGTCCAGATCGTGTGCGCTATGGCTCGGCTGCTCGATACTGCTCCCTGAGACCGAAGCGTCATGTGCCTCGCGGCGTCCGTGGCGCTTGGGAAGCAGAGCAGCGCAGCGCCCAGCAGCAGCAGAAGCGTGAGTAGACCATTGATGCCCTTGCGACGCGAGCCAGGCGAACCCGCCATCATGCGTCGATTCATCAGGCGATTAAACAATGCGGGAATAGAGGAATGATACTAAATCCAGTGATTCATTCACAGGCTCGTCGCGTGTGCTGCTGTAATTATAGCTGTTCAAAAACAAGCTCTAGTACCTTGGCGCACGTAAGGTTTAGACACTAGCTAGAAGGATCTCCCAACAATTTTGACTTGGCTTAGCTGAGCAATGTGGCAACTTTATGTGTGCTTTCACAAACCGAAGCGCACGAGTGGACCACAGCAACATCCCCACTCTCAGATTTCCAAGAGATTCACGATTCGTTGCGAGCGCTTGCGAAATGCTGAGCACAAAGGATCAGCACAAAATGCTCGAAGTCACGACAGAACTGGTAACGTGACATACTTTCGTCAAGATCAGCCTCAAATTTCGCGCCTGTTGACTGCTGAAGCTTGATTCACGCTGACTGTCGGCTGGAGTGTTGGGAGGAGACTCGTTGACTCTGAGGTTTGACTCGTTCGCTCGCTCCGTCAATTGAATTCCAGAGAAATTCATTGTAATGACAGGCTCGATTTCGAATTCTTACACTTCAGATTGCTATGAATAGAAAACCAGACCAACGAGGACAGTTCTTTTCCCTAAGATTTTATGGACCATCATTGTGAATCTCAAAAACCTCTCTTGAAAAAGCTTAGTTATTCACGCATATAGTGTCGGGCCTGATCTGAATATGATGAGATGCATTGTATTGTAAGATCTTGTTATCCTTCGCTTTCGTGCTATGACGCAAATGTTGGGCTGAAAAAGCCCTTTGGATCGTTTCAAGGCTAAGACTCGAAGTGATGATGTAGTTGCGGAAGCGTTGTAGTGAACTGGTCGAACCACCTTGCACTAATGTGTGAGAGCAAGATAGATTGATTATAGCAAAGTAATACAGGGCTTTAAATGATTACAAGGGAATATGAATAGACATAACTAACTGTTGCTGTTGTTGTTGCGATTCGATACAGCTGCGACTCGTGCAACTGCTCAGTAACGAGTCAGTTGTTTGTCCTTGTTGTCGCGCTGCCTTTCGATGAGTCAAAGGTCGCTGACCTTTGACCTTCGCTTAACCTCCTTGCTGTAACATTTTGTCAACCTCTTCGGTTGACTCGCTGTTGCTTCGCTGTACACTGCCTCGCGTTCAATGTTTCGACACATCAGAAGCGCAAAATACATGTTTCCAACACTCCCCTTCGCTTTTGGAGTGTCGTTGCCAGTGACGTGGCCTTGTCCAGTCAGCATCATGGAGTACTCAAACTTATGCTTCCCGTGTTTCTTGGTCAAGTAATCTGCTGCCATCTCAGATGTGGGGCAGTAGGAAAGCTCGAGTCTTCCCTTCCCGATCTCATCCTTTGCAAAGAAGTATCGCAGGGCGATGTGCTTCGTTCGGTTCGCGAACCCGTTCTTGTTCGCTATGCGAATTGCCGATAGATTGTCGCAGAAGAGGGAGAAGCTGGGTAACTGGGCTAGCTTTGCTTCTTCCAACAATTCGCGAAGGTACAGCCCCTCCTTGGTAGCGGAACAGAGTGCGATATATTCTGCTTCGGCTGAGGAGAGGGCAGTTAGTTCTTGCTTGCTCGACTGCCATGAGATAGGACCGATAGGCTCGAGTCGGTAGATGTAGCCAGTGTGTGATCGCCTGTTGTCGGAGTCGCCAGCGTGGTCAGCATCCACGTAGCCGATTAGTTTGGCCGTCGAGGTTCCGGTTTTGTGGTAGGTTAAGCCGACCGTTGGTGTGCTGACGAGGTAGTGTAGTGCGCGATCGAGTTCTGCCATGTGCTATGCTTCGGGCTTCTTGAGATAGGTAGCAAGTTGGCTCGTTGGGTATGACAGGTCAGGTCGGCAGGTGACGGCTGCGAAGAGTAGGCATCCCAGCTTTCGCTGGTTGTCACGTATGCTGGCAAATCCGAGCGGAGCGGAGGCTTCTTTATGGTTTCCGGTGCTGTAGCGGTACGTCGTGGAGATGGCGGCTGGGGTTAGTCCGAAGCGCTTTGCGATAATGTCGGCTTATTTTGCGGCGCTAAGGTAGATCGCGTTCTTCCCGTCTTGTATGTTGAGTCCCAAGTACCGTGTTACGGTAGAGGAAACGGTGAGTGTGAGGTCTCGCTGCAGCTCCCCTTCGAACCAAGTTGTGATGCTGTCGGTGGAGCCTATGTAGAGTAGGTCGTCTACATAGACGATGAGTAGGATGTATTCAGCAGCTTTTGTGAGTCGGTACATCCCTTGGTCATGTGGCAGTTGCCGGAAGCCGATGCGGATTAGTCGGGCGTGTAGATACTGCTGCCACAGTCGCGTAGCTTGCTTGATGCCGTACAGGGACTTCAGTAGTTGTCAGACTTGATTAGGGTCTGTGTCGGATCCGTGTGGTTGTTCGACGAAAATCTCGGCGTCGACAGGAGCGTAGAGAAATGCGTTAGCTACGTCGATTTGGCGAAGTTTCTTCCACTTCATGGCGGCTATCGCGATGAGAATCCGCAGGGAGGTGTGTCGACTGACCAGTGCAAAGGTCTTGGTGAAGTCTTTGTCCGTGTTCTTGGTCGAAGCCGCGCACAACCCATCGTGCTTTAGACTTGTCAATCGTTCCGTTTGCTTTTGTGTTCACACGGAAGACCCATTTTCCGGTGCGTATGGTCTTGTTGCGTGCCACTCTGATGGGTACTATCTTCCAAGTGTTGCGTTCTTCCAGCGCCTTTAATTCTCTGTCCATGGCTCGCGCTATTTTTCCCTGTGCTCCCCCCCCAGAGCCTGCTGAACTGTGGCAGGCTCCTTTAGTCCAGTAGACGGCGGTGACGAGTCCGAGTATTTGCAGCCCACTCTGTGTGTAGCGAGGGAGATTTGGGTCCTTGGGATAGACTGCTTCGTCTCCCGCTTCTGGATCAGGTAAGAAGTTGGGGCCTACGCATTCTGAATCGTTTGTGTTGACCGGCTGAGGTGTAACATAATCGTTGTCGACGAAGTGGTAGAAGACGTCAGCGTTGATGCTTTCGCGAGGATTTTCGTCGTCCATCGGAACAGGTGCTGAGTAGTAAGGAAGAGGTCCGGCTTTCTTCCGATGCCCTGTCCACGTTTTGCTCGTCCCAGTTAGCCTCATCTGCTGCCGAAGCGAAGGCTCGGTCACCATGAAATCCACCCGTGGGATCTCGTTCTGCTTCCAGGTTGTCCAGGTACGTTTGAAGGGTGAGTCGTTCGTAGAAAATCACATCACTTGCTGCCACTGTTTCCTTTGTGTGGACGTCGAAAATCTTCCACGCGTTGTAGTGTTTTTCCATGCCCATGTGTAGTCCCCACTGTGCGCGTTGGACGAATCGGCCGGCTCGTGCAGTTGGGGGTCGGTACTGTACCATGCAGCCAAACACTCAAAACATTTTTGTGCTGCCCAATTTTCCTGTCCACATCAGATGCGGTGATGCGTTGTTCAAGAGCGATAATGATGAGAGCAAGTTGTGCAGCAACACAGCATGATCCATTGCCTTGGGCCACTGGTGATTGGGTAGCCGCATGCCATGTAGCATGGTGTTATGGAGGGTCCTGTTCATTCTTTCTGCCACACCTTGCTGTTGATGGGCGTAGGGAAGAGAGATGAGGCGTTTGATGCCTCTCTCTGCCAGGTACTGCTTGAAATGCTGTGATTGAAATTCCCCTCCCCCGTCTGACTGGAAGCTTTTCAGTTTCACTCCTGATTCCCGTTCCGATACTGGAAGCCAGACAACAAAAGCTTCGAAGGCCATGTTGCGACTCGGAAGGTTAACATGCCAGACGTATCTCGTGGCAGCGTCAATGAAGGTGATCACGTAGTTGTACGCTCCCCGTCCGCTTTCACGAGCGTAAAGTATGTCGTTGTAGACTGCGTATGCGGGTGCGCTCGGGTTGTGGTGAGAGACAAACGGCTGATGAGGTAAGTCAGCTTCAGGGCATGTAAAGCATGTTCCGCGAACCCGTTGAAGTTCTCTGCCGTCGGGTAGAAGAAGTGAATCCTTGTCAAAAACTCCTTCTCTTATCGTATTGTTCAAAGTTGTGTTGCTCGGGTGTCCCATCCTTGCATGCCATATTGATTCGCTGGCGCGATGTCCAGGTGATCATCTGTATAGGTCGGAGTTGGAGTAAAAACTCGCGGTGATGTTGGCGCTTCTGTGGACTTCGCGTAGAGTGGGAGTTAGCTGCTGGGCTAGGGTCGATGGAAGGTCGTCGGTGGGAACTTGTGCTGTCGAGGGACCAGCGATTGGTGTTGCCTCTGCTTCTGCCGGTGTTGTGACTGCTTTTGCCGTTGTTGTCTCTGCTTCTGTCGGTGTTGTCTCTGCTTCTGCTGGTGTTGTCTCTGCTTCTGCCGTTGTTGTCAGTCGAATTGTTGCTAACGCTCTCTTCCGTTCTGTTTCAGGTATGGTGTGCAAGTACCAGAAACCTCTGAGACTGAAGTCGGGGTCGAGATCCGGTGGGTGTGTCCACGTGGTGAAGTTGACTATCGCGTCGCTATCTGCGGTGCCTTGATCTGGAACAAAGTCGAGGACGAAGACGTTATTCTTCAGGACTGCCTTTCTGATGTAGAGTCTACCCTTTCCGTTGTACAACTTGAAGTCCTGAGTGGTGCTGTCGGCTTCAAGGTGAATCCCCTTTGCCATGAGTTGACTGACGCTAAGTAAGTTGTAGCCGAGTCCTTCTGCGATCAAAACCTTCAACATCTGTAGGATAACATTGGTCTCTCGTGATTGAAGTTGAATTATCCCTTGTCGTCGTGTGTGCAGGTTCTGGTTGTTAGCGATGGTGATGACAACTTCGCGGTTAAGACGCTGTTCCCGTTGAACGAAGCGACCTGAAGAACACATATGTTGTCCGCAGCAACTGTCCAAGAACCAAGTGTCTTTCCCGGATTGTTCGC